CTTTCAAGACATCTTCTGTTTGGCGGGGTAACTCCAAAGCGTCGTCAGACATCATTTTTCAAACTAGGGATCTGAGTGCCTAACACTCCGTAGTAGGATGTTTAACGGAACGATGGTATATGCAATAGTCTGCCCGCGCTTGATCTTTTTTGGTGACAAGTCGCCTTGGCTCGGGGAGGTGAACTTTTCCATCTTCTACCTAAACGTTGAGGAGTGCTTGTGCCTCGTCCACTGATATAGGTAACGGCGGGGGAATTTGATCAAACTTTCTCTTTTTTGCCTGCGAGTCTCCTCTTCCTCTAAAGGGGCCTTCGGCTGCATACACAGCGTGATCGCGTCGGTTAGGCCTCCATGAGGAAGGTTGAGGTGCCGTTGGTCGCCATGAGTGGGGTTGTGGTGCTGTCATTCGTGCCCTTGATCTTACTGTTTCACTTATGTTTCGGGCCGCAGCACATAAAGCGGAAAAGTCAAGGAAATGGTGGTTGACCAACTGGAGTTTATAAGTCATGAGCATTCCTTCAATGCACAATGACACCAGTTGGTGTTCTTCCATCGGGTCTTGAATGTCTACTGCTTTTTCTCTGAAACAGCAAACGCAAACGAGGATGTCCTCCCCAAGTCGTTGTGTTTCCCTCATAAAATGAAGGGTGGTTAACCTTTCTTCAACGTAAAAGAACTTGATGTAAAAAAATTTTACTAAGGCTTCCCATGAAGAAATAGAGCCAGCAGCGAGGTTAGCATACCACGAGAATGCTCGATTTGTGAAGGATTTGGAGAATTCCCTCATGCGGAGGTTTCGGTCCTCTCGGTGAACTCCAAGGGCGTTAAGAAAGCGTGAAACATGCTCCCTGGCGTTCCCTTTTCGTCTGTCGAAGCGAACAAACATGGGTAATGTATATCCCACCGGATATGGAAGACTTGCGATGTGAATAGGGTAAGGGGGGCGGAGGTCTAATTCTGGGGAGGTAGGGATGTGACCTTTGTTTGTCTGAAGTAGACTGTGTATGTGCTCTTTTACTACTTCCAATGTTAATGGCTAGGAAGGGTTCTGATCCACCGAGAGAGCTGGAGAGCTAGTCGAAGTCATTGCGGTGGGAGCTCCGCTAATGGATCCAACTTGCGGTGGAGGTATTTGGCTGGGAGCTGACGGAGGGAGCGGGGCGACTGTTTGTCCTCCCGCCTGGGTTCACAAGTTGCTTTGTGTAGCGAGGTTGGCTTCCGAGCCATTCTGGGCTAATGGTGGAGCGCCATTTTGTGATGTTAAAAGAGGGTTAGACGATGATGGAAGTGTAAGTGCCTTTTGTAAGGCTAGTAGGGCATCCATTAAGAGTTGTTGGTTCTGTTGAAGAGAGGTGACGCTCTCAGTCAACGCATGTAGTTGATCCGCTATGACCAGTTGGGAGGATTGTTCTTCTGGAGAGCCGCCGGAGTTGTGTTCTGAGGTCTCCGCCAGGGTCTCCCTACCGCCACCTTGGAATGCTGTTATTCCAGTTCCAATGTTCTTTTTGGGTGCCATGTGAAGCGGGCACCACTCTTCCCCAGCAGAGTAATGTGGGTGAGAGGTGTGGTTAGATGTAGTCCGAGAAGATGGCGGGCACTTCAATGGCTTGGGATCACTGGAGATGGAGAGGAGGAAATCAAGGCAAGCTTAGAGAGGGAGAGGTTGGCAGTGATAGACCTTAAATACTAATGTAAAGCGAGAAAGGGTGTTTTAGAATGAGACTTGGCTGTATTGTTGTTGTTGTCTCGCTGCATATACGATACATTATATAGGCCACAGGAGTATTGGAGCCCAAGTAAACTGTTGGACAGGTGGCTCGTTCTCCTCAACTCTGCCAGAAGTAATATAAGCCCTTTTGCCGTCTGTGGCTCGACGGCAGGCGAAGAGCAACGTTTCATGGCAGGTGGAAAGTATCGTTTCGTATATGCATCGGATGACATGAACGTAAGGTCATTGTTGCCTCTTCTCCAAGCCTGGTCGAGATGGAGTTGTCTTAGCAAGAAGACAACCATCTTGACGATCCCATGACCTCAGCTGCCAGTCCAGTATCCTCTGATGATCCCGAGCAGTAGTGCCTGGGTCCTGCTCCCAACCCAAGCATCCAAGTAGGTGAAGGGGCTAGGACCCACCTTAGTGTTTAGGAGAGCCAAGGGCTAGCTTCCAGGCGACCAAGTAGGAGGATGGGCCGCGGGCTTATCTCAATATTTAGGAGAGGGGCTCGCTTCTAAGCGACCAAGTAGGAGCATGGACCGCGGGCTTATTTCAATGTTTAGGAGAGCTAGTGTTTATCAATCCAAGTCCAAGTGAACTGGGGACTGATTGTATTGTTGTTTGGTCTTGGAGCGAGGTATGAAGGACCATGGACCCTGCGGGGGCCATGGTGCTGCCTGTTGCAGGGCACTTCATATCTAGATATATTTGGGCTTATATATATGCTCCCGCTTAGGCTAAGCATATAGTTTTGGTTGCCTTGGCACATGGCACCCATAGGGCTCGCCATGTATCAAACATACAACATGCCCGACGTGGTGCCTTATTGGTCTGCCACGTGGGTGGGGTTTTGGTGATGTGGCACCTGTAGAGCTTGCCACGTATTGAGCTTGATACAAGTACCCACAATTTTAAATATTTTTTTTTTTACTTTTTTAGGTGTATCTAAAAAGTAAAACATTTGTGAAAAAATATTTTAAAAAATTAATAAATACACAAAAATACGAAAAATAGACTGAATTTTCGTTTTTTTTTTTTTTTGTATTTTTTGGTATTTAGTGAATTTTTTTAAAAAAAATTTCACGAAAATTATACCTTGTAAGTATATTTATGTTAGATGTGTCTAAAAATTAAAAAAATTGCTTAAAATATTTTTAAAAAATCAGTAAAAACAAAAAAAAATTACAAAAAACAAGAAAGTAGAAATTTTTGAAAAGTGTTTTCAAAAAACTGGAAACAAACATAGTGAAGTGATAGTTGATATTGTTACCATGGGTCAGAAACAGAAACATCAAGAAGTCTCTACATCTCGAAATGAGAATTTCAAAACTCAATTTCATTTGGTTTAGTATCTCTACCTAACAAAACAAAAGTGGACTTTATTCCAATTGTCTACAAAAAATACCATCCACTTTTTCTGGTCTCGCAAGCCACCTCATGGATCCAAGAATCTGAGAACAATCTTTCAATTGCCTATAGGGATCCTATTGGGTTGCTGATTAACAACTAACTTATTAAGACCAATCTGTCATAGTGATTCAATTGGGTTGTCAACAACTAAGACCAATCTGTCACGATAGAACTATAAATCAAACATTGCCAAATTGAAACTATTCAAATGGTTCAGTGGCAATTGACTTGGTCCATTTCAGTAACCAGGCTGAACTTGCAACTAAAACTATCTTGTATTATTTTTTTCTTATTAAGAACAAAATCATATCCAGTGGTTCAGGTTTCCACCTCTAAGTACTGATGTCTATCTTGTTTACGGAGATCATTAAAAATAATATACAAAGAAGCTAAACGGATCTTAGTAGCCAATATGAAAGCTTCAATTAAAATTAAATGCTACATAATTATGATGGCACCAGTACATATCTAGGATTCAGCACTGCCCACATGAAATGCCAAAAACAATACTAAATTTGTTGACCCTGGTCATGAAATTCCACGAGCAGTTCCACAAAGCTCAAAGAAATTACTATTGTGTATTTCATTAGCTAGAGAAGTGCCACAACAGCAATGAATATTAACTCTTTCTTGCAAAGTTCCAGAATATTTGCATAGTGTAGCTATGCAGGAAGCTATTAATTTTGAATGAACCTAGTAAGGGTGTCCTAAATAAGTGTACTTTTTGTTTTTTCGGACTAAAAAGTTGAGGAAAAAAATATAGATGTTTGAAATAACTTTTTGACTTTTTATGAAAAAATATATATTAAAAAATTGTATAAATAAGTGTGTAGGAGAAGATAGGGTAAGAGGCCGCACGGAATGGCAGTGGTGACTGGCTGGGTGAGTAGGTGAGAAAATATTGTCTCCTTCTCGGGCTTTGATTGGTTGGTGTTGTTTGGCCCGTGAAGGCCCACCACGGGTCCCGTTTTTTTAATCGGAACTGTTTAATGTGTAGAACTCGTCAAATACCATATGCTGCAAAAAATTACATTGATTGGATATCGATAGCTATCTGATTGTGTTAATTTTTTTTATTAACTGTTAACTATAACACCATTCATTTTTATACAAAACTGATTTGATCATGTAGTTAGCGATATTCGATAGACGTGATTTTTTACAGGCATATAATATTAGACGAGTTTTTTGAACGGTTCAAATTATCAAAACAGGACCCATGGTGTGGCCCCATGGGCCCAATTTTAGCATTAAAAAATTTAGTGAATATTTTACTATAATTTTTTTTTCCCCAGTCACTAACTCCACCATCATGTCAGTACCAATCTTGGGGGTTTTTTTTTATTTGTATTAATATTTGTATATTAGTTTTTTAATATTTTTTTTTTGGTGCATAGTGATAGTTTTTTAACTTTTTTGATAACTTTTTGGATTTTTCAAGGGTTGCCAAACCAACCCTTATTCAGGCTCACATGGCAGCTTAGCACTCTTCAACTATAGAAGAAAAGCTTTGTGAAAAGCTCATAACTGAAACTTTCTACTGCTTCCCATTAATCCCCCAAAAAAAGAAGAAGAAGAGAAAGATAGGTAATGGATATTTGGGGATAAATGATGCAAAACTGAAAATGTTTCTGCAAAAACTTCCCTTCTGTATGTCAAAATGGCCCAATTATCGAGATATGCTTCAAAAGAACTTGGAAATGGAGTTAAAAATTGTTAAATGTAAGTAAGTTTGCAATCATGGGCATAAAGAAATTCTGGTGAAAACTTTCAAAGAGCAAATCTAACATTTATGACAGAATGCTAGATGCAAATGTCTGAAAATAGCCAATAGTAGAACTAACTAGAACAACGAAAAGGATAGGAAAGAGAATCTAACCAAGCTTTGTTCCAACAAGAACTACTGGAATTCCAGGAGCATAATGCCTCAATTCAGGAATCCACTGACCATCGAAAACAGAACCCCCCCAAAAAAAGAAGCATGTATCAGCATGCTATCTAATCAGACAGAAAATTATCTTATGATCAGAGAAGAAAGGCATCTATCTTTACAAGAAAAGATTATTCTTACCTTTTTTGATATATTTTCATAGCTAGCCTTGCTAATCAGAGAAAATGCAAGTATAAAGACATCAGCCCCTCGATAGCTCAGGGGTCTTAATCTATTGTAATCCTCCTGACCTGTTCCATGAAACAAACAAGTCAAATCCAGCACTTGTGAAGAGTTCGTTGAAGAAGAAGATATCACTGGCTAATATGAACTTACCTGCTGTATCCCAAAGTCCTAAATTAACAGTGCTCCCATCCACAACCACGTTTGCACTAAAATTGTCAAAAACAGTCGGCACATAATCCTGTTCCAAGTTCAGTCGATTCAGACTTCGAATAGGAAAATTTCCATCATAAAAAATTAAAAATTATCTGAACCTTCACAATTTCAAGCTTCCAAAATCAAGTGAAGAAATTCCTCAATATATGAAACATAACTAAATCTGCATTTTGATGTCTATAACATTTCCATAGTCAAAGCCAGAAGATTGAGAGCAGAACTTCTATTTCACCCATAACTTCAACCGATCAAAGTCCATGGAACCCTGAATCTTGAAAACTTTCCTTTCCTTCCCCTTTTTACCAAATAAACAGCAATGAAAAAAGACAATTTCTTCAAGAAAATAACCCTAATTGCACAAATTAACCCCCCACCCCCTCCAAAAAAAAAAAAACACCCTTTGCTTTTCCTTCCATCTTCCAGAGAAAACAAACAGAAAACTAGAAAGTCTTGTTCTTCAAGATGTAGCATTGACCAAGAAAAGAAAACCCTAACTTGCTCAATTCAATGCACCAAATTTTGCTTCCCTTTACCTCATTCGTCAAAGAACTAAAAGAAGAAGAAACCTAAATAGGAACAGAGAAGCATAAACGAAAACCCTAATTTTCAAAATCGAAACAGAGAAGCAGCATTGATACTCACAGTGGGAAAGGTGTTGCTGGTATAGGAGATAAGCATACAAGTCTTGCCAACAGCTCCATCGCCAACGGTGACGCACTTGATGAACCTCGAAGCACTCATCTTTCTTCTCCAGCGAAGACAACAACGTGTTCACCACCACAACCCTCCTCTGTATTTTTCTCTGTTGATTCTTGGTCTCCTTCAACTATTACAATACATCTGTATCTAAAGATCATTAAAAAGAGAGAAGCTTTTTTTATCAGTCAAACAAAACCCTAACCATGATTACATTATAAACCCTTAATTTTGTGTAAGATGGTGGATAATTACAGAGTACCTAAATGTGCAGGCACATTGATGATTGATGGAGAGAGAGAGAGTGGTACCTTGGATGAGGGAGGAGAGAGAAAGTGAGGGAGGTGGAGGAACGGCTAGGAGATGAGCGAGCCAGCTCTGAGCCAGCTATGAGGCTTAACCTGAAAATCTCACCTATATATCATATGCAAGGAAGGTTCCTTCTTGAAAAGGAGGTTATAACTCACTTTTTAAATTATAGCCTACTTCCTTTCTCATAATAATAATAATAATAATTACGTAACATATCATAAGATGAATTTTATTATCTTTTCCATCTATGTGAATTCATGAATTAAATCGTCATAAATATACTTATTATGATTGTATGAATTCGCATAAAAGGTGAGGAAATGGTGAAATTCATGTGGGTATGTATGCTATTGTGTCCAATAAGTGTGATTGTGTTATCTTAAAATTCATCACTCGGATCATAATTTATAAGTATGATATTGTCATATTATTTTTTAAACAATTTTAGTATAAAAAGTCAAATAATTTAGCATTTTCCTTTTAAGGTAAAACTGCATATGCCAACAAGTTCCTACATTGATCACCATTTTTATTACTACCCCTCATCAACTCCTGTTTTTGTAACTCATGGTAGGTGAAATGAACGAACATTGCATGGTCAATACCCAAAGTCCACCTCTGAATTCATCAGCAATATGGAAATTTTAATATAAGCTAATAAAGTTGTTAAATTAAGACTATGATGTTTATTTGTCAAGTCATTAGGTTTCCAACATCACTCAATCAATTCCAAATTTAATCATAATTTATGGCTAAAATGTTTGGTGAGTCATCCTCAAGGTGGGACTTGGCTCTAGTAGAATGATGGGGGAGGAGCATCATGCTGTATGAAATTTTTGTATATAAATTTTATTTTATTTTTTATTTTTTTTATCAGCATGTATTTTTTGTTTGTACAATACTCTCCTACTAAAAAATATTTATGGTAGGTTTGGACTTCAAATTTATAGATGGAAAGAAAAAGGAAAGATATATGTGAAAAGAAAATGAAGTACTGATTAGGACTAGCCTAGTTAGTTAGAATTTTTGTATTTTATTAGGAAGTTAATTGTTCAAGCTGTACCCAAAAAATAATAATAAATTCATTAAATTCATGTTAGTTACCTACAAATTATGTATAAGTAGGGAAATTCTAATATACACCCCCTTTAAAAAGAGTGTACTATATTAGTTTTGTTATTTTCTTATTTAATTATGATATTATTTTAATTATGATTCATGAGTTCTTTAGTTATACTTTATGTTGTGTTTAGTTATGACTTTTTTTTTTTTTTTTTTTTTTTTTTTTTTTTTTTTTTTTTTTTTTTATAGTTATGACTTAGAAAATTGAAATTATGTCATTTTTCTTTTTAGTTATAAAATGCATATAATACACATCTTTTCAAAGGTGTGCATCATAGTATTTTCCATATAAGTAATTAAACTTTTCTTTACTTTTTCCTTTGTTATGAGAAATTTAATATTCAAACATATCTAAGAGTGTAAAAATGACTCGCGGCCTGGGGTGGGCTCGGTTTGTTTAGGTCCGTTTGGGCCTAGGCTCGAGTCCAGCCTAAGCCCTTGGGCTTGGGCTATCATTTTGAAGCCCTGCTTGGCCTGTGGACCCGGTCCGCCTAACCTAGCTCATCGGCTCACTTAAGGCCCACTCAAGGCCTGGGCTGCCTGAGGTCTAATGTTTTTTTTAGTAAAAAATAATAAAATTTTGATACAAAAAATTAAAAATAAAAAAAAAAAAAATTGGCAGGCTTGCCCAAGTTCGAGGCCAGGTCAAGGCCTACCGGCTTGGCCTAAGGCCTGAATGCCCCTAGGCCTGGGCCTAATTGTTTTGGCCCGTGGCTCTGCCCGAATTTTGGCTGGAGCCCGCAAGACTCGACATGGGTCGGGCCGGGTTGGGCCAAATATACACCTCTAAACATATCATTAAAATATTAATCAACTTAATATGAGAGTTTGGAATTTCTATTGCTTTCTCCCACATGACAATACTGCATAATATGCTATCTACACCAAACAATGCCCTCAAAGCAAAAAATCAACCTACTTTATAAAGAAATTTTAGAAAGTGAGCCTTTTATAAACTATTTTGAAGCAAACACACCATAGTTGGGGTGAGTTTTTCAATATCCCACTTTCCATGGGAGATATTAACATTTGCACAAGAAAAGAATGACATTGGTCAAGTAATTAAGCAATGTTGAACCTAAAATGGTATGGCTTAATTTTGTAAGAAATACTATAAATTTCTTTACATAACAAGATTTATCTTTATAATTATGCGATCACAAGACATCTAAAAACCCAAATTCTATGAAGCAAAAACAACACTTTTTGTTCTTTTATGGGGCAAAAAAGAAATTTTATTCATGTGAATTATAGAAGAATAAAGCATTGCTTTGGTAATTAATATAAGAGAATGATGGAGTGAGAGTGAGTGATGTTTTACTACAGAGGTTTTTGAGATTTGGTCTCAATTAATTTCTAACATATAATTCTTATCCCACATAAAAACATCCAATTTATTTGGAATTTATTTTGTCATTTGTCTGAATGATTGAAAATGTGAGAAATGGAGAAATATAAACAAACGATAAGAAAAAGAACTACGGAAATAAATTATAAGAAATGGAATTATTTTAAAATCCATGTTTTGTTTTCCTTCAAAATTTATAAGATTTAGCAAAAAATAAAAGTTGCTTTATAATTTTTTTTATAAAAAAAAAAATGGTTTCCCACCAAAGTTTGACCTATGCAATTGTGACACCTCGGTTCCTTTCATTTAAATAAAAAAATGACTAATTCAAATTTGCAAACTAGATTCCGAGTGATGAATTTTAAGATAACACAATCACACTTATTGGACACAATAGCATACATACCCACATGAATTTCACCATTTCCTCACCTTTTATGCGAATTCATACAATCATAATAAGTATATTTATGATGATTTAATTCATGAATTCACATAGATGGAAAAGATAATAAAATTTATCTTATGATATGTTACGGACTTTCTTCCAAAGCTTCTAGTGGTATGTGATGTACAACACAAGGATTAGATATTTCAAATATGAATAATTATCTAATCTTTTGAAAATATTACATTGATAATATATCCAGCCAATAGAAGAAGCTAAAGCAATGTACTTAAATGGTCCAAAAAAATAAACAATAGGTTACCTTCTTTAGGAAGCAAAAAATAGAATCAACATGTGGGGCTAAATGGGGTTTCTTGGTTTTCAAGGGGAAATCACTAATGGAAAAAATGTGCTATGGGTTTGTTAGCATAACCTCTTGTAATTAACCATGTGAACTCATCAAAGTCAGTGTCAATCAGGCAGTGACTTGTGAACTGCCCCCAAGTCCTTTCTTGAATAAGAGTAAATACAAGTTTATAGAAAATTTTTACAAAATAAGACACAAATGTGAAATAAATGATGAATCTCACATATGGTAGACTCTACATAATAAACTTCACCCTTTATCTCATATAAGTATTGCATTCTGTAAAAATCTTCTATGTTCATAATACAACTATTTGAATAATCTAAAGAAAAGGTGGTGGTTGAGAGGGTAAGAGTCCATAGACCAAATAAACCAGGGCAAAAATGCATAAACAAATCACCTTCCAAAGCTGCTAACTAATCCTTAATTTAATTATTTGAGATATACATAAGATCGGACACGTGGCATACAAGCAACCTTCTGATAAGTCAATTAGTTGTTACAGTGGAAAGTTGCTTTCATGATTAATCAACATTACCTAACAACTAGCCTAGATCTATATTTTGTATTATTTCTACCTAATAAAACATCATGTAAGACATCATCTAATTACAATGCACCCTGCAAGAGATTTGGAGGCCAAACCTAGGCCACCGCCACCAATCCCTAATAACATTGTTTAAAGGAAATTTTTAACATAATATACTTATTTTTTAAAAGTACTCCACTTTTTGGTAACACTACAAATGTACGAAAAAACAAAATTAGGGGTGCACATGGAGAGTGTTCACACCAACTCCATGTGCATGGATGACCAACCTTCAACTGCCTTCTATATCAATTTCTGTGTATCTGCCTCTATCTTGAGATACCATGGCCCCTACCTTTCAATTTGGATTACTTCTATAAGATTGAAGCAAAACCTAACAAAGATATATCAAATTAGTTCTGTTTGGTACAATTTATTGAGTTCCTTGTAACTTTTTTATTTTGGAAATTTGAGTTAGCGTATTTATTTACAATGCAAATTAGAGAAAGGAATACTTTTAGTTTTTACTTTTTGATTATCAACTTTCAACTTGAGAAAGTTACACCAAACATGCTCACTAACTTGTGTCGTGCAATTAAAAGTACAAATAATATTTTTAATATTTTGCAAGTCTATGATAATACAACTTCTGCTTATAACTTGAGAAACTATACATCCATGTAGTTAGAGAAACATGTAAAAATTCATATCATTTGTAGTTTTAGACTTAGTAGCCAAGCATATGATAAAAAATTGATGGCTCACCAAAAAGATCAGATTTTGCCATGATGTTAAATTTTAGGTGATTACAAGTCAGTGTAGTGGACAAAATGTCCATAACTAGATTCCATTTTGGTTTGAATACTTCAGCATCTAAACTTGTCTTGCCTCCCCTGAAGTTTTCTTTTGGGGGAAAGAAGAGACAGTTATAACTGCATTATTGACCTTCCATGAAAGTTTAACTTCAAGTTCAAACCATTGAAAGCCATTAAATCTTTAGTTGATAATTAAATATTGTAAAGCTGTGATTATAATAGGTTGTTCATTACTTGAAAGGGGAAAAACCTATATGACTTTACTTCCATGATGCCAAAATTGCACATGATGTTCTGTGGATGGATTCAATGCACTTAGGGCACGTTGGATTGTCAAATTATTTTTTTATAGCTGTGGATATGAAAGAATTACTGATAGGATTATGAATGAGATTATGATTATTGATTGGATTGTGGAAAACAAGTTATACCATGGATTAAATGGGATGAAAGATTAGATATATAAAAAGATTATGAGGGATAAGTTATATCATGGGATAACTAGATGAGATTAAAGATTAGATAGAGGAAGCCGAGTGTTATGTTTATTTAGGATGGAACAAAAAATATATATAATTATTTTTTACCATTGGATGAAAGAGAAAAATAATCCAGATATGCCTAATACCATAATCCCTATACTATTACTTAATTATTAATGATATCCAGAATTTTAATACGGGGCTAAACAAACAATAAACTAAAAAACATGCACATCCAGATCTTGCCCACATTTAATCCTCTTTCATATCCTACAATCAAATATGAGATTAAAAATTTGATGGATTCCACATATTCCCCAATTTCTATCTCCCATTTAATATTGCAAACAAACGAGGCCTTAAAGAGTTAAATCCATTAAAGCAAGGGATTTGACTATGGAAGAAGTGCATGAGTTTGATTAATTCAAAGGGCATTTCAGATGTTACTACCTAACTAGAAGTGAGAACAAAGCAAGAAAACATGACGTTGCAGCTTCTCAAGATGGCATGTGTACACATGATATGAAATAACACATTCTTAAAAGAAATGGCTAAAATCCCACAAGAAAAATTATTTAGATACACATCCAGCATAATCATTGACTCACATTCTCACCCCTTCGATATTCACTCCTTAAATGCACAGATATCATGGAAAATATACTCAGATCAAAATCAATTTTGAGATTCTAATAAGTTTTCATCTCTTTTCATTTGTTTTTCCAGCATGCAATTGGAACTTGGAGTATATTCTAAGAAAAGAAATATATCTATGTGTGCATGTATACATAAAAGCAAACTCAGTGTGTCAATCGTAAGCTTGTAACCAGATATAACATATACATATCATTTCAACAATGGAAGTCACCTTAAAACAGCAATTTGATCAACATATTAGACCTTTTTTTTTCTTTTTTCTTTTTTAAAAGCAGCCAAAATTCTCCACAAGGAGGTGGTTTAAAAACATTACATATTTGTAAGCTTCAATACTCAAGCTAAACTGCTATACAGTTTCTCAATCTTTTTCACTTACATAGGTGCATTAAGTGTCCAATGGTGGATACAAGCCCTAGTGAACCAATGATTAAAAAATAAATAAAAAAGAAGAAAACCATTGGATGGATCTTTATTTTTCTCGAAACTTCAACAAAGAGCAATGCCACCAAGAATTATAACTTGTGTCATGTTCTTTCCACAAGTAGAATGCTCAATTACACCAAGTCATAAAGGGGGTTAATAAGGAAGTCTCACATTTCTTCATCCGAGCTATAACATTCTAATTCAATCATTTTTTCTCTAACCTCCTTCGGTTTCTCAGGTGCAGGTTGCCCCTGCACCCTTTTAATTCGTTTTGCATTTGTTTGTTGACTTCTGACTGCATGTGTATCCGACCTCTCAGTCGATGATAACCTGGAAAATAATTGACAAACCTTCAGTGAAATTGAAAACTCTAAGAAATAGCAGATAGAAAAGGTAAAAAAAAGGTTGCTTCATTCACCTCTTCTCTGAGCTCTGTAATTTCGGCAAGGCATGAGCTCTATCTATAGGTTTTGGACCGAATTGACCTATAATCAGAGTAAAGAAATGGATGAGCTTGAATCAAATAGGATCATATTTTTCAACTGCAGAGAACAGGTACAATGTTAAACCTGCAACTTCAGTGAGAAATCTTATTCCTTGTGAGTGGGCATTCGTTGTTACTTTGCCTGCATTGCTATTCATTCCAGTAAAGTACAGAGTCTATTAGAACCAATTAAAAACCTATTGAACAATCAAATGACAACAAACATTTCAAAAAGGCTAAAGGGTGACACAGAGGAACTTTATGCTCAAGTTGGTAGGTAAGAGAATGAACAGACATGTTTTTCTTGGCAATCAAATAGTGCATGTTTGTTTGCGACCAAAAAGCGCATCAGAATGAGCCAAGATAACCAGGATAATTGGACAAACCTTAAAGCCTTCTTCAATTCTTCTACAGACAACAATTTCGCCGGCTGCAATTGTTTTCTTAAATTTGTTCTGTCAGCTAGAGGATCAACCATGTAAATTCCTTCTGGCTTAAAAGGATTCCTGAAGGCTGTTCTCAAATTCCTGAGATTAAAAGTTCCATTGGATAATTACTAGAAGAAATTAAAAAACACAACTCCACATTCTGCACATTTTTTAGAATATTTCAATGACAAAACCAGGTTACCTACCCTCCCTTGAGTTCCGTTCGCGTAATGGAGTACTTTTCAGATGCTTTCTATAAAGAAAATTGAAAAGAGGAAGCAAAAGTTAGTAAGTTTGCTTCAGACTAATGGCCCAGACAAGATTTAAGAAATTTAACCTTACCGATCTATGGTACGAGCAATATATTCCACGACGTCTGAAATTACAAAATAACTAAATTATTACAAGGAAATTTTGGGTGTAAAAGATATTTCAAAAATAAGCATACATATAAATAAATAAATGCCTAATAACCTCATAATTCTATCGTATTATGAGGATAGGAAAAACAGTAATAACAATCTAAGGCATGCAATGATCCTTATCAACTTGGGTGGTTATGAAAGCTTTGTGTTTAAGGGACTTCATGTGTGTTCTTCAATGCCTCCATAGCATGATTTTTGCTTGCAAATTGCAGAATAATTTTATAAGATCATGCTCATCTTATGTACACTCTGGTCAAGTAAGTCCATGACTGCCAAATTCATGTTTTATTAAAGTAACCAACCTTGTTATTGGGTATTTTATTCCACTCAAATACAGATTCTCACCATCCCAACTTTGTAATGTGCCAAATAGGAAAGTGATGTTGATCCCTACTACTGGTTTTGGCAGTCCAAATGTCCTAAAGACAAGTTTTAACATTCCATTACATCCAGGGTGAGGTTGACCACTAATGTGTCTATTTTCATACATAATGAAATAAATCCAATTTCAATATATCATTTACAATTGAACAGCCACTTTCAACAAGGCAAACTATGGACTAATTGAGGTTTTTCGCTCAAGAACATGTCATGGCAGATCATGTCCCAATATTTGTGAACTCCAGCCCACATGGAGGAGTAGTTGGAGGTTGGCTAGTTGGCTCTCCAAGTCAAGAAGTAGGAGGGGAGATGGCAGGTGGCAACCCTCCCAATTACTCCTCTTCCATGGCTTTGTTCCCTCCCATTTGTGTATAAAAAGGGAAGAGGTGAGCTGAGTTAGATTATTAGAAAGAGAAAGACAAAGCAGAGAGTGTAATCTGTGAGTGAGTCTGAGTTGTGAGTGTTGTAAACTCCCTCTGGGAAAATTCTATAGTGGATATCTCCTGTGGACGTAGGCTATTGTCGAACCACGTAAATATCTTGTCTCTTTTCTGTGTGATTGATTTCTGAGTGTTCTTAATCCTAACAGGTGGTATCAAAACCTCGTTGGTTGATTTTTCAAAAAAAACAAGGTGTGTTTTTCGAAACTGCTAGAAATCAAGTTGCTCGAAATTCACTTTTGAGCATATTGAGAGAAAGCTCTGATAAGAGAAATCCAGAACTACAAAGCAGAGTCCCAGATGAGGCTCCACACACTCTTACGCACCACCCAAAGAAGGCGAGTGAATCCCAATTGCAGGCACGCGCTTCACACGCCGTTACGTATGCCAGCGCGTCATCTCAATCGCAAAGACGCGCCAGACGCGCGGTAGAAGGAAAAATGAGAGTCTTCAGTGTGTGATAGTAATGTCACTGCCACGTCAACCTAAAGCAGTGCCACATGTCTGCCACGCCATCACGCCCCAATTGACTAGTTAACCCGTCAGGTTGACCCAACCCGACCCAAAAGCACAGGGATTATCCAGTGCTACGAGACTAAGATACATCCACAGATCTGAACCGTCGAACTTATTTTGGCTAGATCTGAGCCATTTGAAGTTTGATTTTGACAATCCAATAGTGGTTTCTAACTAATTGGAGTATTCCGGAGAGATCCGTACGGTCAGCTTTTTGAGTAATAGTTTCTGTGAAAAATAAGAAGACAATGGAGGAATCTACATCAACTTCAGGATCCATGATGAAGTTGAATCCTTCCAATTATGCAATCTGGAAGTCACGGATGGAAGACATCCTATATTATAAAGACTTGTTTGACCCTATTGCTCTAAAAGGGGTTAAACCGGAAGAAGTGAAGGATGAAGACTAGATAAAGATGAACCGGAAAACTGTCGGTTGTATCAGACAATGGATAGACCACAGTGTGTTCCACCATATTGCCCAGGAGACAGATGCATATGTCTTTTGGACAATGTTAAAAGGAATGTACTAGTCAAAGACCATCCGAAACAAAGCCTTGGTGATAAGAAGGCTTGTAAATCTGAAGTTGAAGAATGGTGTGTCTGTCGCCAAGCACGCCAGCGAATTCAAGAATCGGGTGAATCAACTTGCAACCGTCAAGATGCACTTGGATGATGAAATGCAAGCCATTCTACTGCTCAGTTCTTTACCGGACAGCTGGGAGACGTTGATGGTTTCTCTTAGTAACTATGCACCAGAGAGGAAGCTGACCATGAGCATGGTTACAGACGCCATGTACAATGAAGAGATGAAGAGGTAAAACATAGGAGATAATCAATCTCATGCTCTTGTCATAGAAGATAGAGGCAGAGACAAAAATAGAGGAAAAGACAGAGGAAGAAACAAGAGTAGAAACAGATGAAATAACAGGAGTAAATCCAGATACAATAAAAGTCAAGGTAATGCTAGCTTCACTTGCTTTCACTGTGGCCAGGAGGGTCACATAAAGAGAAACTGTCCAAGATGGAAAAATAAAGGTCAAAGTAGTAAATCAAAGGAAGATGAGAACACGACAGCCACAACAACTGATGAAATACTTCTTGCAGTTGGTGAAGAGGAGAATTGCCTTCACATTGTTAACCACAATTGTTCAGAGTGGGTGATAGACACAACTGCATCTTATCATGCCACTTCCCACAGAGAACTCTTCAGTTCATACAACGTTGAAGATTTTGGCACTGTTCGAATGAAAATTCTAGCTATTTGAAGATTGTGGGCATTGGAGACATTAGTATTCAGATTAATGTCAAACACAAGCTGGTTCTCAAAGATGTGAGGCATGTTCTAGATTTGCTCTTCAATCTTATCTCCGGAAGCGCCCTGGACCGACAGGACTATACAAGTACATTCGGAAATGGCCGTAGGAAGCTGACAGGAGGAGTTTTGACAATCGCCAAAGGAGAGATATCTTCAACACTGTACAAGACTCAAATGAAGATCTGTCTGGGAAATCTTAATGCAATAGAAGACAAGGAGTCACCAGACTTATGGCACAGAAGACTAGCTCATATGAGCGAGAAGGGATTGCATCTGTTGGCAAAGCAATCTAAGATACTTTTATCCAAAGGGAGGGCCCTGAAGCCGTGTGATCATTGCCTTTATAGCAAGTAGCATCGAGTATCATTTAGTTCAACGAGCAAGAGAAAAACAGAAGTGCTCAGTATGGTATTGTGATAACCCAACCCGTACTATGCTTAATTATTTATGTGATCGTGTGTTTGATATAAATTTGCAAGTTTAAGTATGGGAAATATGTGAATTTGAAAAAATATCTATTGAAAGTAAGAATATCTTTTATAATTGGAACTTTGAACTGAAATTGGGAGCCGTAGAGGCGCGATAAACAAAAACCGACTTCATACCTATGATTAGCATGATTTTTAGAGCCTTTAGTGAGTTTTTGAAAAATTACGATTCTTAATGATTAAATTGGAATTTTTTAAAGCTAAGTCACATATATGTTGGCCTCTTGTGTTCCTTATTGTGCTTAAGAGCTCTATAGTGTGAGTTAGAGAGAGAGGAAAAAGAGAAAGCTAAGGATTTGAAGGAAATCAAGGGGCAAGCCACAGATTTGAACTAAGGTATGGAAAATCACTCACAAACTTTGATTCTAACTCATCTTTGTCAAGAAATCAAGAAGAGATTAGGGGTTTGAGCTAGGGTTTTGAGTTATATAGTGATTTGAGCTCAAGGCATGAGATTGAACCCTAATGTCTCCATCTTTGTTCATTTAAGTCCACTCTTGTGATTGACCCATGAAACAAACCTTAGATGATCTATGGAAACAAGTTTTGTTGTAAGATTATTCATGGTTTATATACTTTGAATTTGTTTATGTAATGAATAAATATAGGAAAAAGATGAGGCCATGGAATTGTTGTTGATGCAAGATTGGTATGTTTAATGTAGAATTACACTTGTATCATGCTTAGATATCATGTTTTTGAGTTGTTTTTGTAGAATTACACTTGTATCATGCTTAGATATCATGTTTTTGAGTTGTTTTTACATAAATTTGATCTTGGAAATGAGTTGGAAGGTTTGGCATTTTTTTTCCATTTTCGAACTAAGTTTGCCCGGACCACATGACCAGAACATGAAGAAAAAAAGAAGTTTTGATTATGCTCCTTGGGAGCTCAAGCAGTCTGTTTTTCCGCTCGGGCAAATTTGGGCCGCACGAGCGGTGAAAACTTCTGGTCGTGCGGAACCTCTGTTTCAACCCAACTTTAAAAAAGCATATCTCCTTCATTCGGACTCCGTTTTAAGCGATTCTTGAGCCTAAATTCAAGCCCTCGAAGTCTTGTTTCTAATGGTCGTGGTCTCACACCCAAATTCTGAGTCCACAAATAGATATCCTCAAGTTAGTGAAGGCTACTTATTTTCTTTTATCTATTTCATGCCAATTCCTATCCTTACTTAGTTTTCTTTCGCTTCTTGCTATATCCTTAAATCTTAAATAAGTAAACATGATATGTTCAATGAAAAACATATAAAATTATTGTAGGAAACATTAATTTAAGTTATAAACATTTAGGGTTGTTTAAGGTACATCTTTGGAACATGCGTTGTATGCGATTCACATGTAGAGAAGTTTAGCATTGAACACTTGAGAGAAATTAAAGAAAAGTGTATGAATTAAAACAAATGATTTATTGGATGTGTATGTGACATGTTTTGTGTAGGTTGAGTGCCGGAGGCAACGCCGCAAGACCAAATGCACTGTGAGTAGTAATATAGTACACTTATATTCTTTGTTCCGTATCTTGAACCATGAATGGTGATTGGTGCCAACATTATGAATTGATTGGAAATGATGAAACTTCATTGATATTATATGACATGTGCCAAATGATTGGGCCCAAGGCCGTTTGTTAAATAATTAGGCCCGAGGCCGCTTGTTAAATAATTGGGCCCGAGGCCGCTGGTTATAATTGGGCCCGAGGCCGCTTGACATATGATTGGGCCCGAGGCTGCTTGTTAAATGCTTGGGCTTAAGGCCGCTTGGTTTATATGATTATGGATATTGAGAGAACCTTATGATCATCTACTTACA